TCCAGCTGGGAGCTGGGGCCTGTCAGTCCTGTCAGCCATGAGGACCTGATGTGGACTGCCCTTGGCCAGGTGTCCTTCAGGTCCACACTGAAAGCAGGTGAGTGGGAGCTTCCTCTCTACTCCCTTGCCCATCTTTGGCTCTCGTCTGTGACACTGTCTCCTGAAGTGGCCCAGCTTTCCACAGTGGACCTCCTTTATTACCTCATATTAATATGATCATTTCCAATCCAGAGATACATGTTCCAGTGCGGTTCCTATTTCCCACACATGGTTTTGGTAAGAAGACTATTGTAAATGTGGATATAGTTCCACTATGCCTCCTCCATGCCATGATAGAGTGTTATTAGCATGAGTGGTTATAAATCCATTGCCTTCCTTACTCTGACTTAAATTGTTTTTTAATTTAAATGTATTATTAATTTCAGTAAAATTTACAGAGACTTTGATTTCCATTCATTCATTGTTGCACATTTCTCCCCTCCCATCCCTTTCCCCGTAATGCACTACTCTCTTGGAAAAGTAAAAGAAAAAGTCTTTGTTTTACAAACCCTCCCCCAGGTCCACTCCACTATGCGGCCTTCGCTCTGTCCTGTCATGACAAAAGTACCTAATCACATATACCTTTTAAACTGTTTTCTCCCTCATCTGTTTCAATGCAGTATACATTATTGAACCCATCTTTCTCAGTCTCCCCCCAGCCCCCATGTCACTCCCATTTTACAACAGTGGCACAGTGCAGCATTTGTCCTTTTGTGACTGAGACATTTCACTCATCATAATGTCCTCCAGGGTCACCTATTTTGAATAATATTTCATGAATTCCTTGTTTTTCAATGCAGCATAGTATTCCATTGTGTGAATATACCACAGCTTCTCTGTCCATTCGTTTGTTGATGGGCACTTAGGTTGTTTCCAACTCCTTGCTTGTGAACAAAGCTGCAATAAACATGAGTGTGCATCTATCAGCTTAAGTGTCAGTTATGGTCTCTTTGGGGTATATTCCTAGTAGTGGAATTGCTGGGTCAAATGATACTTCTTTTTACAACTTTTTGAGACAGCACCATACCGCCTTCCACAGTGGTTGCACTATTTTACACTCCCACCAACAGTGGATAAGGGTTCTAGTTTGTCTACAACCTCGCCAGCATTTGTTGCTTGCTGTTCTGTTAAATTTTGCTATTCTTACTGGGTGATACGATATCTCATAGTTGTTTTCATTTGCATATCTCTTAGAGCTAAGGATTTTCAAAATTTCTTCATATGCTTGTTAGCTATCTGAATGTCTTCTTTGATGAAGTGTCTGTTCATATCCTGTGCCCATTTTTTGATTGGATTATTTACCTTTATCTTGTGGTAGTGGTCAAGTATTTTATAAATTCTGGATATAAGTCCCTTATATGATATGTCATTACCAAATACTTTTCCCAGTCTGTGGCTTCCCTTTTTACCCTGTTGGAGAAGTTTTTGAATGTGCATAGGGGTTTGATTCTTACAAGATCCCATTCATCTATTTTATCTTCTCCTGGTTGTAGGTTAGAGTGCTGTTTTTGATGATGAATGCAACACCATTCCTTTTTAATTTATTATTCATAAATTGACATATCATGGTTATCTGATTCAAAATGGCCAGTACTGGCCCATCTCAGATTATTGATGTTTAGTTTGTTGCTCTTTATGCATTCCATTTAATTTTTCACAATTTCCACTTTTTCTAGATTCATACTCCATACATTCCATGTTCCAGTTATTAATGAGTGTTTGAAACTATTCATTTTGTTTTGCATTCTCATCTGAAGGGCTCATTTACTAACTCTATATCCAGCAATCTTCCTCTGTTATGCATTGAGTTTTTAAAGTCCTGTTACTTTAGAAGTGAATGGCCAGACCTGCTTTTTAGACTTTCTTAGTCTGGAAGCCCCATGGAATCCTGTCAACTATGGTTGACCCTGCTTGTATTGATAGAACAGCTTCCACACACCCAAGTCACTGCAGCAGAACTGACAAAGGCAGTACACCTGAGAGCAAACTAGAAAACAAGTGTATAGACATCACAGACAATGATGCTAGGGAAAATAGAAATCAAATTTTCTGACCTGTGACAATGTATCTGCCCGCCCAGCAGAAGTTTGGAATTGAGATGCCTAGTCAGGTTAGAGTTTCTCTTCCTCTGTACTGTGTTGAAAAAATAAGGTATGTTGTGAGACTGGTGGTCCCTCCTATGATACACTTCTGCTTACTGTCTTTAAACCACCTGACAGTTTTTTCCATGGTAACAGTTCTTATATATTCACTCAGGGCTTTCACACTGTATAGACACTAAGAAATTACTGTCTAAGAACAAAATTCAGGAGACTTAAGATTTTCCAATGAAATAGTTTTTGCTTTAAATATCTAGGTTGTTGTTGATTCACATTGAGTTGAGTACGACTCACATTATGAATAAATGACCATAACTATCGTCATTTCTCCAAGTGCTTAGAGTTTCCGGAGGCATTTGGTTTAGGAAGTGGATGCCACTCCTGCTTCCAAATCTGAATCAGTCTGAGAGCTCTTCCAAACACTGTTGTGTCAAATACCAGTAAATATCTGTGTATTTATTTAATTTTTGAAATAAGTGTTCTTCCCTAAGTAGCCACTTAAAAACTTAACTGTTTGTTTTATATATTTCTTCAAATTCTTTTTTATTGTAGAAAAAAATTGATGTTACAGAGAATAATTCACCTATTAGCACTGCCATTTCACAGAAGAACTTGAACATAGCTTGCCTTTTTGAAAAAATTTATGCAAACATAATTGAAATTATATAGAATATAATTCTGAAAATATTTTCCCCACATTAAACTGACTTAGAGAGGCATCATTTTTATGAATAATATTTATTTGAAAGTTGAACAATGAGTAAGGAGGGGTAAAGAACTCATGCCTTCTAATTGTGCTGTTGGTGAAGGATATTGTATGTCATGAACTGCCGAACAAACAAGCAAATCTGTCTTGGAGAAAGTGCACCCAGGGTGTTCCTTAGAGGCATCGTACTGGGAATGATAGAAGGTCAGTGAAAGCTGACCTCAACAAGATGAATTGATAAAGTAACTTCAGTGGCATGAACATGGCAGAGATTGTGGAAACCATCCAGGATAGAGCAAATTTCGATCTATTGTTCCTAGAGTCACGGTGCGTCATAGTCAACTTGACAGCACCTAATAGCAGCAGCATAATAGTTTGCTGTGACTTTATAATAATTTGTTTATTGATTCCACTATGGTGGTTTTTAGGTTATCACTCCTGATAATGACTTACTATTTAATAATTAACATATTAAGTCATTTTATTAGTGATTATGATTAGTGAATCATAAAGAACATCATTAAATTTGTGGTATTAGCTTTGACAATTGACTATAACTTTATTTTTAGGCTTCTAATTAAGCATCTGTCAACTTTCTGTCCTAACTAAATAGATCATAACTGAATGGATAGGCCTTGACTTAAATGTGTCCTGATTGCTCTGCTGGGTAAGCAAAATAGATCAGACTCTTAGAGAAGCTCTAAGGAAGTGGTCAAGGAGAAGTAAGGCTGTTGGGAGTTGGGGCAGGTGATAGCAATCTAAGCATGTTAACATATGTACCTTTTTTTTTCTTTTGCACAGAGTAACTTTTTCTTCATATAGATAGCTATGAATTTATTTCCCTTTTAGAATTTTGGATAGGAAAGGACTTATCACATCCAGACATATCCATATCTAGGCAAGCTAGAGTTTAAATAGAATCTTCTCCAATTCATCATTCTCAGAGCTAAATAAAATCCAAGGTTTCCTAATAAACTAATAAAAACAAATAAAATATACAGAGTATTAAGTTCTTTTAAAACTCCATTTGTGTTTAAGATAAACATTATAACAAGAAATATTAGTAAGATAGTTAACATTTTCAATTCTATTATCTTTTTTAAAAATTAATTTTAGTGAAAGTTTACAGAGACTTAGGGTTTCCAGTCATTCATTGTTTCACTTTTCTCCTTGCCCACTCCCTCTCCCCCATTCCCTCTTCTCCTTGAAAAGTGAAAGAAAAACTTTTCATTGTTATGCAGTCCCTCTCCCCAAGTCCACTCCATTGTGCAGCCTTCATTATGGACTCCTGTCATGACAGTGATACCCAATCATATATCCCTTTTAAATAGTTCTCTCCCTCATCTGTTTCAATGCCTTATTCATCATTCCTCCCCTCCTTCTCTGTCTTCCCTCAACCCTGATGTCAGTCCTGATTTACAGTAGTGGCCCTATGCAATATTTATCCTTTTGTGACTGAGATATTTCACTTAGCATAATTTCCTCTAGGTTCATCCACTTTGCATAATATGTCATGAGTTCCTTGTTTTTCATTGCTGCATAGTATTCCATTGTGTGAGTATCTTGATACAGCAAAATATTCATTTTGAGAGTCTTAACAAAACTCCTAGTCCCCATGGAAGGGAACTCTGGTAGCCAGTGAGTAAGAAGTTGCACTGTCAACCGAAGGGTAGGCAGTTAGAATCCACCACACTGTTTTGAAGGAGAATGAGGGGCATTCTCCTCGCAGGTGATTTCCAGCCTCCAAAAATTCATTGAAAGGTCAGCTGTGCATTAGTTTTGACTTTTGTAATTGAGTTTGAGTTCACAGGGAGTTGCACTAGAAACCCAAAGGATCTACCTCTCCAGTATTTTAAATCCACTAGTAACTCGGTGGGAGAAAGATGGTCAGGCTTTCAAAAGACTGCAATTTACAGCCTCAGAATCACCTCTGGAGGGTCGGTTATAAGTGGGTTATGACTCAAAAGCAGTAAGCTTATTAAAAAAATTATGTAGCACTAACCACTAATCAAATAATGCCACAATTTTTTAACAAGTTCATTTGTTCATTAAGGAGTCAGTGCTAGTCATAACACAAAGGAGTCACAGCACAAAATTTGGCCTGTGGAGTCAAACAACTTTAGCTTACATCTTGATTTTTCATTTCAATTCTCTAGGTGTGATTTAAATAAAAGCATGGTGCTTTATTTAACTCTCAAGGTCTTTAACTGTAAAATGATGATTACAGTTACCTACCTTATTGGATTATTACAGAAGTTAAGTAAGGTAACACTTGTAGAAGTTTTTCAAAGGCAGTGATAGTGGGTTAGTAAGGGTGGTGAGAGTAGGTATTGAGTGGTGATGGTATATGGTGTCACATAATTAGTAAGTATTTCCTTTTTTCATTTTCACCATCACTCTGACCATCTACCACCACTCTCCATATCATTCATTGTAATTCATCACAATCATCATACATTCATTGTAATTCATCACAATCATCATACAACTCAGCTATGAACACCCAACTGGATCTTACCATACCCATCATCACAATCCTCCACACCAGTCTCATCATTAATTAACCATCACCCACTCTGAACACTCCTGTCAGTCACCATCACCACTTCCCACTCATTGTCACTATACCCATTATCACTTACCACCACCACCTCACTATCACCATGTAACCATGCTAATCACCATCCATCCTAGTCATTCCCACAATCTGCTATGACTATCCAACCCCATTAAATCCCACTATTAACTGTCAACACCATCTACCACTTAATCTTACAACTCTACTATCACTTACCATAAACATACTCATCATACACTCCCATCACCAGCCATTGCCACCCACGACTCCTATCATTGATCATCATCCAAAATCATTCATCAGCACCTATCATAAACATTCCCATCAAATGCCATGACTGTTACTGTTGTTATTAAACATATGTACTTAATGCAGACTGAGTACAAGTACCAAAAATTAGGATAGGTTACCTGAAGGAAAATCATACTTGGAAATGGATTAGGGTAATAGTGGCATAGCTTTTTCTCATCTGGCAGATTTTTATGCTAACTCTTGAGTATTCATAAAAAAGTTTAAATTGGTATAGAAAAATATTTGGAATTTAGATATTTCTAGAAATTCAAATCTACAATTAACGATCTTACACAAGAATGACCTGTTGGTGGTTTTTTTTTTCTGCCTATTGTTTGCTTGGCCTTCTATTTGACATAGAGGCCAAATCCAGATGTGGGGGAGAAAACATTGTAGGTTCCTAGATGAAAAAAAACAAACTACACAATTACCAACCGAGGCGCCATTTTGTTTTAACCTTTTTGTGAATTATATTTCAAAGCTGACTCAGTAAAAACTTCTGGGTAGAAGAATTAGAAATACACATCTCTTTTTAACACCTTTCTTAAAATTAACATAATCACATCTGGCAAACCTTTCAACATTTTTTAAAAGGTGCCACATTTTTGGGAGACACATCTTTGGAAGACAGCTTATCTTTTCAAAACATAAAAGAAAAAGCCTGATAACCAAACCTTTAAATGTAAAGGGCAAGGAGGGAGAGATACTGAAATGTAAATTAGATAAAGTCTGTATTTCTAATCTACATTCTCTTTTTAAGAAGTAGTAGGCTCGTTGGATCAAGAAACTTTATTTTCTTTTTATTTTTACTCATTATTGGTTTGGGTTTGTTGTGGGTTTTTTGTTTTTGGTTTTTGGTTTTTTTCCCCTTTCCTCTGAGTCTACCTTTGATTAAAAGCAGCATAGTAGAAATAATAATGATAATAGTATTAATTGATATTTATTCTGAGGACTGTTTATGACATCCTGCCCTTACTTGCTTCTTAAAGCAGTACTGTGAGGACTGCAGACCAGGGCAGTAAACCCAAGGGTTGTAGAATTTGCTAAGTTAAAGCAGGCATTCAGTTAAGGTCTGAGACTCCAGAAGAGCTCCAGCTTGAATGGCCTGCTTCACTAATCTTCTAACCTCTCATTATTCTTGAGATTTTTCTTGGGTGACTTTAATTTAGCTGAAAAGCCCCTTGGGCTTTTTTGGCAGCACTGTCTTAAAAGGGATAACAAATCATCAGAATGCCATATAAAAGGATTGGGAGTATCATCATCTTAATTTTTCATCCTTTCTAATAAGGAAATTTCCATGGCCCAAAGTCTGGTGGCTAGTCTATACAAATTATACTGCTCATCAAAAGAGTGTACCCCTGGTGGGTTGGATCCACCAGTGGCTCTGAGGGAGAAGAATGGTTCCCATGCAATTCACAACCTCCAGAACTCATTAGAGGGTCAGCTATGTGGGTTTGGGATTTGTTTGTTTTTTGTTTTGTTGTGGTGTGTGTGTTGTTTTTATTTTTTTTTTTAAAGCGAAAATTATAAACAAGGCACAGGCAGAAGGTTGACTCTTCACTTCGAAAGTGTGATATATATAGGAATGTTGTATGTGCTTGCCTTATGTTCTGAGGACTCTGAAGCCCTTAGTGATTCTAACACTTGGAGTTCTTCTGATGGCTAACTTTTACATGTAAGAGAATGAAGGACAAAGCTAAATTTATGTGTTTCAGCTACCATTCTTTAATTTTTTTCCCCCTCATTCTTAGTTTCAGGGCACCTCCAAGAAAGGTATCAGCCGACTGGATAAACAGATGAGAAAATTCACTGATATCAGGAAAAAAAGCAGATCTGCACATGCAGTGAAAATCAGCATCGAGGGCAATAAAATGCCATTGTAACCATGCTTGGGATGGACCCACATCTCTTTAAGAAATTCATGAGAAACTCTGGAGGAAGAAAATGACATTTTAAAATTTTCTAGTATATCTATAAATGGTTGATTCTGCTTATATCAAATGTTATCATAGCAGTTTCTCTCAATTGTATTAAAAACATTGTTGTGTACTTTGTTCAGAGGAATACTGATCATACAGCTATAAACTTTACACAATAAAATTCCATGCTGTTTGGGGGGTTGTCTCATCATTGTCTGATACATTCTCAACTAGGGCAAAAATTAGTTCTTATAAGTTAAACAAATCTTAAATATTTATGAGGATTTGTTCTAAATCTTACCCGGCAAACTGACTCCTTACCATGAGAGGAGCTCTGCTGGTATAGTCCATAGTACACTGCGCTTACAATGAAGAGGCATCACAGCTTCATTGGTTTGACTCTTCCAGCTATTCCTTGGGATAAAAATGAGCAATCTCTTTTTATTAAGATTTGTAATCAGTCTCCAATCCACTAAAAGTTCTAATTTCATTAATGACTTTAAATTACACTTGAAATTTTAAGAGGTTTTCTTTTGGCAAAAGAAAGAGTTGAAAAATATTACCTTAAAGAAAAAGGTATGTGTCATTGAAAATTACTTCTTGTGCATCTAAAAGTGACAGCACAAGAATTGATGCCTTTGAGTTGTGTTGGAGAATAATCATGAATATCCCAAGGACTACCAAAAGAACAAATAAGTCTATGCTGGAGGAAGTGCAATCAAGGTGCGCCTTATAAGCAAGGATAGTGAAACTTCATCTCAAATTTTTGGGGCATGTTGTCATCAGGAGGGGCCAGTCCTTAGGAAAAGACATGCTAGGAAAGGTAGAGGGTCAGAGAAAGGGAGGAAGACTCTCAACAAGAAGAATGGACACAGTGACTGTAACAGTACTTAATATTCAGAATTGGGAACTCTGGCTGTGTAGTTCATAGGGAATTACACTGCTAATCTAAAGGTGGCTCCTCTAGTGTCCCCCCGGGGGAAAGAACCATTTCCTATGGGATTTTCCCTTGGAAAACCTGCTGGAGTATTGGGAGTTGGTACCCACACAATTGCACTGAGTTCAGATTTGGAAATACGCCTAATCAAAAGACAGAACCTCACTTTGAAGTGTGATTTACACTTTGTAAAGATCCTCAAAGCATAGCCATCTATCTAGTGGAAGATCATAGATCTTCTAAATAGCATAACTAGCAGTTTTTAAGAAAAAACAGTTTATGTCATTTTGTCTCTTAATAAGGTGAACACCAATTATCTGAAATTTTACGTAGGATGAAATTTAAGGTTCTTGGTAATAAGAATTACTACTTAAAGGGTCAAATACTAAGAGATACTGTACTATAGCTTTAAGAATTTATTTAGTACATGGTTTTAAGGATTCAGTTCTGCCTAAGATAGTCAGATTTTTAAAAAAATGTTTCAAATTTATAATTAGATTTCAAGAATAGTAAGACACTATTGTACTCTTAGTAAACTTGCCAACTGTTAGCATTATGGTACGTTTATCACTGTCCATTCAAACGTATAGCACACACACTACTAGATGCCATCAAATCCTTGGGTATATTTTGAGTCCATTGTGTCAGTCCATCTCATTGAGAATTTCCTTTCTCTTCACTGACCCCGTGAGTGAGTGTACCAAACCATGTCCTTTTCCAGGAGTCTTTTTGTTTTGTTTTTTCTAATGAAAACTCATTTAAGAGTAACTTGTGGATATTTGCTTTCTAGTCCCCAAATATGTGTTTCTGTCAAGAACAACAATGTTTAGTATATTGGTGATGTTAACTGACCACTTAGTTGTGGTGGTACAGAATCACTTAAAAAAGACTTATAGACCTTGCCTCCCACAGTTATAGCAAGCAAGATGTTAGATCTCTGTAATTTCAGATGCTTTTGGTTATCAGACTAGTTGAAAAAAAATCTTTTTGGCAAGTTACTGTATTTGGTTGAGATTATGAGGATACTGGGATGATAAACTGCTAATCTAAACCTGATAGGCAGAGAGTTTATTACTAGTGATGGATTAAATAATTTCTTAGCACTGGGTTAACCATTATTTCCAAACTGAGTTCTCACCTTCCTATAAGTGTTCTTCCCCTAATGAAGTAACTGATGACCTCCTGAGCCAAATTTCACTGTGGGACAGGTAGGGTGAAAGTATATAAATGTGTATTTACTGTATAGAAAGGATTATTAGGTAAAAATGAGAGGTGAAATTACTTGCTGTAGTCATGGGCTAAAAGTATTACAAAAAGAGGTTTTTGTAGAGTCAAAGTATTATAAATTGATTTGACTTCAGTACTGCTATGCAATTATGTACTTCAAACATCAATGTTTGAGGAAAGTGGTGTGTGTCACAAGTTTACATTATAATGTATGCCTTGTTTTTAAACTATTAAGATTTGGAGAAAGTTCTTTGTCTACAAAAGGATTTACCATACCTTTTAAAGGCATGTTTTTTAAGATTTTTTTAAAATTACACTAGTTTATTTACAGAATTCTAATATATTGTTTCTCACACCAGTTCCTTCCCATTTCCCTAACCCCCCCCCATCAAATTGTGTGACCCCCATGATTAAACCCCCCCCCCCCCGCCAAAGCATGCTTCTTTAAAGTAGAAATGGGATTGACCAATTAATAAAAATTTCATTTTAAAACAAAAGGATTTAGGTTCATCCTCCCAGGGACCAGTCCAGCTCTCGAAATGCTTGAGGTCCTGGGCTTGAAATAGCACAACTACATTTGTGAATGTGATGAGTGAGGTTGCTGGGAATCTTTTGAGTTTACTGACTCGAGAACAAAGCTGTAAAATGTTTCATTATAATAGTGCATTAAAATGCATTCAAGTGAAAAGTCATTGAATAAAGAGATCTTGCAAGCAAGGAGAGTGTTAAGGTTGAGTTCTCTGAGTTAGGGAGAGGAGCAATTTCTATGTAATTATTCTTTACTGTGCTGTGTGCTTCTAGCAAGTTCTTTAGAAAACAAAAAAATCCCGTGGAAATTGGATTCATTCCAGACCAGATCTTTAAGGTCAGTGTAAACACTGCCCATTTGACAAGGGGTTTCATAAATGCTAATGAATGTGATCACCTGTGTTTCTATCCATTATCTGACTTATTCTGAAATCCATGTCTTGAGGAAACTGCCTGTGTGTAATAGATTAACTTCTAAGGGCAGCGACCTTTGCCTGGTTTCCTCTGCCTCCATTTGTTGAACTAAATATTGTAGCACTTTAAATTTTTACATCAGCTGTACAGTGAGACTATTATTCCTGTTTGGGAGATGAGGAATATGGTTTACAGAGACCAAGGTACCCTTACTTGTTGAGTAACAGCAGAGCTAGAGTTCCTAACTCCGGATCCTGAGTGCTTTTCAGCTGCCTCTTTTTAGCTCAATCTTACACATGAGGTCTGTGGTAAGTAAGGGTTTCTTGTGAATGTAGTAACTTTCATTATTAAATAAATGGAGTTTTGATATGTTAATCTTAGAGCAGAATTCAGGTTGAAATTTGTTTCATCTTGACAGATTAAACTTTATAACAAAAATAACCAAAATATAACAGCAGTCTCATACCAGATAACATATATAAGGAGTATTCTGTACATTTCTCCACTGAAACTGCAAATTATGTGTCAGGTTATACTGTGATCTGAACATACAGTATTTAAATTTTATGAAAGGTAGGTTTTTTACCTTTTTACAAGTAATTAAATTGGTTCAAGGCATATAAATAACAAGTAGTTAATGGATCTGCTGTTGATTTTGGCTCCAAAGCGTTCAGTTAAATGCTGTGAGATTTTCTGAATTTAGTGTTTTCCTATTGAGCCTTAAGTTGCCCTAGGACCTTGTTAAACTTGAACATAGCTGTCCTCTGAAATAAACACCTCTGTCCGTTGTTTTCTAGGCTTTGCTCTTACTGCTCCGTATAATCTTGGACACAAAATGAAACACCCATCCACTTCCTACAAGATACTGATAAAGCTGATATCCTGTGGAAGAGGTGTCAACGTTTGGGAACAGCTGGAACTTGGCTGCACTGGTGAGTGAGTACTTAAGTGATGATACCGTCTTTAGACAGCACTACTTGAGACATGCACTAATTCTTTTTGGCACTGATGATCCTACGGAAAGGTCTAACCTTGCCCATAATCAAGATCGGAGGAAGACTCATCAACAACTAGCGTCATGTAGATGACACAGCCATGCTAGCTGGAAGTGAAGAGGACTTGAAATACTTGCTGCAGAATATCAAAAGCTACAACCTTCAATATAGATCACATGTCACCATCAAGAAGACAAAGACCTTCATCACTGCAATAGATGGAGAAAAGATTGAAATTGTCAACTATTTGATCTTTGATCCACAATCAACATCCTTGTTGCCAGATCAAGAGTTGTCTTACATTTAGAAAGTTAGTCCTCTCCAAGTTACTGAGGAGCAATGATAACAGTTTGTAGACTAACGTATTCCTGATTCAGGCTGTAGTCTTTTCAGTCATTTGCTATCTGAGAGCTGGACAGTGAATAAGGATGACAGAAGAAGAATCAGTGCTTTTTAACTGTCGTGTTGAGAGAAGAATGCTAAATGTCCCATGGACCTTTAACACCCTTGCTTTATGCTCCTTTCCCTGACTTTATTTTTCTCTAAAGCACTTTGGCCTGTAACATACTTAATATTTACTTGTTTATTTATTGAATATATCTTCATTAGAATGTGAACTCCATGAGGACTGGAGCTCTGTTTTATTTCTTTATGTACCACTACATCTGGAACAGTGTCTGTTACAATGTGATAAATGAACGATCCCTACTTCTTACTGTTTTCATGAAAAAATTCATTCAGATACTACTGAATAATAGGGACCCAGAAATGAACAAGAGCTTCTGCCCTTAAAAACGTCACAGTGTAAGAAGGGAAACAGGTTAAGTGCAGTATGCTTCATTGGGATACAACTGGATAACAAT